TTGGCTCTGGCCAGCTCAGCCCACTCTGTCTGGTCCAGAGGAAATTGCCATGGGGGACTCCTGCTGGTTATCAGGAGTCTCTGTGCTGTTCCAGTCGGGAGTCTTTGGACTCCAGGCTGAAAGGAAGGGGAGGCATGGGGGAGCTTGTCCCCAAGGACAGCAGACCATAGGCACAAGGCTGCTCCCCTGTGTGACTTCCATTCTCCCCTGAACACACTCTGGTAAACACAGAAGCCATGGACAGCTGAAAAGGGCATTGGGCAGAGAGTTGGGAAGCCATGAATGTGTCCCAGATGAGTAACTAGGTCACCTGTCAATAACCATCAGGCAAACTGAGTGGATTATGTGCTAAATGTTTTGACAAATCTCATTCCTCCAAACTTTTCCCTTTTTTTTTAGACAACCTGAGGTCCAGAGAGGGTAAGTGATTAACCCACAGTCACACAGCTAGGAAATGGGAAAGTTGAGAATCAAACCAAAAAATCTGACTCTGGGATCCAAAGCTCCTAGCCTTACTTTCAGTTGCTTCCAGGTCTCAGTAAACTTTGGGAACTGTAACACTTGAACTGCAAAGACTCGAACCTTCTAGTTTTCACAGTCTGTGATTTATTCACTACACTGCCAGGCAGAGCTAGAAAGACAAAGATTAGCAAGGCTCCACTTGTGTCCTCAGGTTGTGAACTCCCAGAGAGAAGACAGCAGACCTCAATTCTCCTGGATGACCTGACACCAATTACCACAGCAATGTATACCGAAAAGAAAAAGCTATTTGGACACCGGATCCCTGGGGGAGCAGATCTAACCAAGTCTTGTCTCTGGCCTTGCAAGAGCGGCCATTTGTTTCCTGTGCTTCTCTTTATCCATGGGCTAGAAACACAAAACCCTTTAACAGGTTTCTGGAGAGGAAGGGGAGTGGTTGGCATGATGGACTATGCTGAAGCATTCTGCTGTCCCCAGGGAAAAGCCATATAAAGTCTCTTCACCTGCTGGAGGCGGGTAGAGGGCTGCCAGGCTGGTCCTAAGTAAACCCCAGAGAGGAGGGGAGGGATCTCTGGACAGCCTTCCCCTGGGCTCTGATTCCCATGCAGTCCCCATTCCTCCCTGGCAGGCATGTCCCCTCTGTCTAGACAGCTCCCTTCTGAAGACTGCAAAGCACAGCCTGTCTGGTGACAAAGCCTGCCCCAGACATGCTCCCCGATTGATTCCGCACTCTTCAGAAAAGGGTAAGTCCGGCTGCCACCTCTGAAGCAGAGGGGCTCTAGTGAATAGAAATGGCACCTCCTCTCCCTGCATTTCATCCTCCCCTCCTCCCCTCCTCCCCTTCCTCCCCTCCTCTCCCTCCCTCTTCCTCTCTTTTCCCTCTTCCTCCTCCCCCTTCTTCCCTCCCTCTCCTTTTCCCCTTCCTTCCTTCTGTTTCCTCTTCCCCTCCTCCCCCTCCTCCCCCTCTTCCCTCTCTTCCCCCCCTCCTCCCCCTCTTCCCTCTCTTCTCCCTCCTCCCCCTCTTTCTCCTCCTCCTCTCCTCCCTTCCTTCCCCTTCTCCCTGTTCTCCCCTCCTTTCCCTCCTTCTCTCCCCCTTTTTCCCCCTCCTCTTTACCCCCCTCCTCCTTTCTTTCTCCTTCTTTTTGAGGCAAGTCTTGAATAGCCCAAGCTAACCTGGAACTCAATATGCAGCAGAGAATGACCTTGAACTCCTGATCCTCCTGTCTCCCTCCTGAGTGCTGGGATCACGGACATGTACCACCACGAATGGCTTCTGTGGCACTAGAGAACAAGCCCGAGCTTGGTGTGTGCTAGCCAAGCACTCTATCAGCTGAGCTAAATCCCCAGCCCTCTTCTTCCATTATTTATCTAGCCATTCAGCATCCGTCCATCTTCTAGTGAATGCTTATGGTGGGCCAGAGTAGGGAGAGGCATTGGGTGTACCAAGATGACTTAGGCTCAACTCACCCTGCCAGGAACTCATCACATCGTGGGAGATGGACTTAGAGTAAGTCTGTGGGATCCAACTGCAATGATGGTGACAGGCTACCATCTTGAGGCTGCCTGCTGGCTGATGATGCATGACTTCAATGTGGTTTTCCTATGTTATAACCCTGTGAGTAAGCAGCCTTCACCATGATCACGGTGCAGACAGACTCACCAAGGTTCCCAAGATTGGGGCGATGTATACAGAGTTACACAGCCCTGGAACACTAAGGCCAAGATCTTCACTTGCACACTTAGCCGCACTCTGGTTTGGACCTCGGAGGATGGCCCCACTCTCCTGTGCATGAGGAATATGAGGACCACATGGAGAAGGAGTTTCTAAGCTGGGCCTGGAGGGTGAGGCCGGTACACTGAGAAGTCTGTCGATGAGGAGATTCTTCTGGCTGGAGTGGGAGCGAGAGCTTCCCAGATGCCACACGAGCCAGGTCTGGCTGTGAATGAGCAGGGGGAGCAGGGACAGAACCGGCTGAGAAGACCTGGGATGCCTGGACAAGAGAAACCAGGAGGCAGTGGGAGGAGCTGGAGATGCCAAAGCTTTAGCCAGAGACCCTGTGCTCAGGAAGCTGGTTTAGGGAAGCTAGAGGGTGGCTTGGAGAAGGTAGGAAACCAACTGGGAATTGCCCCCCTCCCCCAGCGGGGTTCTCCCTCACTTTCTGTCTTCCCTTCTTTCAATTGTGGTGGCAATGGTGGGGACTACAAAGGTCCTTCTCGTGGTGTCCTGGGCACCAGGACTGCCAGTGAGCCCTGTGCAGTCATGCCACGCCCTCGTACCTCTTCCCAGTTCTGAAGGCCAACAGTGGGAGGAAATCCCTGCCGTCTGCCCTTCAGGACTCTGTAAGTCAGCCGTGCATGTCCCTCCAGCCCATGTCATCCACTCCACCACATCCAGAGCCCCTGCAGCGAGTGCCCTTCCTGCGTTCGCTCATCAGTGCCTCTGCTCCCAGGAACCCTCTCTGTGGCCCTTGCCTGGTCTTTGCTTAGATGCCTCCTGCTCCTGCCTCAAGGCTCAAGGCCAAGGTGACCCTTCCCATGTGTCCACGCCTTGGGCTTGTACACCTCACCCTCTCTACCCTCCCCACACTATGCTGTGCCCAAGTGTGTGGGTTTCCATCCATGGGATAGAGATGGCACTTTGCCCATCTGCTGGTCCCTAAAGGACTCAAGAATCTGAACTGAGCCCCCTCCATAGACCTAGCCTCTTCTGTCACCAGCTCTCCAGTGTCACCTTCCTGGGCTGTTTTGTAAGCAATGCTATTAGAAGGTTTGTCATTCTCTCCTGTCCTATCATCATCATCATCATCATCACCATCATCCTGTTGACACAGAGTCATGGAGTCCAGACTGGACTCAGACTCAAGATGTATGTAGCCAGTGACCTTGAACTTCCTCCTGAGTGCTGGAATTGCAGCCATGTGCCGCTACTATTGGTTTATTCGATGCTGAACATTGAACTTGGGGATTTGAGCATGCTAGGCAAGCATTCTGCCAGCTGAGCTGTGTTGCTCACATCTCCTTCCAGAGCATCTTTGGGGACTTTTCATAAAAGTCACACATCCATGACATGTCTCCGACTACTCTGCAGAGTGTACTTTTCAACTGCAAGACCTTGGGGGAAGGACCCTGGCAGCTGCCATGCTGGGCTGTGTATCAGCCAGGACACTGGTAGCACAGCCTATATTAAGGGCCACCTACATTTGGCATTGTTCTATCTTCCCATCTCCCGTGTGGGAAAAGAGCCAAGGGCCTAAAGAGAGGAGAGAAGGCTGAGGTGTGGTTGCCGATGACTCCTGTCTATTCATGCTAGTGATTTATTTGCCTGAGATCTGCGCTAAGACAAAAAGAACCTCTGCATTATTAATGACCATTGATCACAGCCTTCCAAAAAAGAGACTGTAAGAGATGGAGGCTCCAAGCCAATCACAAATGATAGACCAGGAGAGAAAGGGGAGGGGGAGGCCAGGTGGGCAGACACTTTGGTGCAAACAGAAGGACACGGAAGGACATGGAAAGCAAAATGTGAAATAGCTGCTGAGTTCTCAGTGTACCGGTGAGCCAGATATCAAACAGCTGTGTGGGTGCTTCCGTATCCTCCCCATGCCACACACACACCAAGGAGACTTGAAGACACAGCCGTTACCAGGGATGGAGAGTCAGGGTCACTCCATAATGCTCATGGGGTCAGTTCATCAAGAATGCATGACCAGTGCAGTGGGGGATGCTGCTGACGACAAGGCTTGAGAATACACAAACAATAAGGAGACACAGTGGGCAAGGACACCGAAGACCGGCTCCACCGAAGCTGGGTGGAGCCTGATCAAGACCTGCTTGGCGCTCGGACTTCTGCAGGAGTTTTTGCTGCTCCTGTCTTTGAACGCAGGCCTCTCTCTCTCCTGGCTCTTCACACCTGCTAAATGCTGCATGGGGAGCTGGCTTCAGATCTGCTACCCCAACTCTGGGATCACCCTACTTGCCCAGCAGAAAGCTGACTGTACCCATTCCACCTCTAGTGTGTGGTCTGGAAGCTTCCTACCTCGTCTCTGTGCTGGGAGGCTACTTTCCCGGTGAGATGCCCCCACCTTTGACACCCCTCCACCTCCTTTCTTTATTTCCCTGCTGAAACATCTGATATCTCTTTGAAAGCGTTGTATCTGCCCCAGTAGAATGTGAGCCCCAGGAGGCGGGATGGGGGTAAGGGTGTGCAATGGTTCTCACCCCAGACACAAAGCAGGTCAATAAATATTTGCTCAATTAAAGGTAGGGGGTAGGAGGCCCAGCTTGTGAGGAACTCGCAGATAGGTATAGATGGAGTCTAGGCACAGTCCACTTTCCCCGGACAGTCTGTTCCTTCCTACAGGTGGGCCTCCTCCATCTGCGTCGCTGGTGTCCTCCCATGGTGGGGCTGGAGCAGGGCTAGGGGCTCGGAGCGGACCTCCCCTGCTGTGGGCGGGAGGCCGAGTGGGGAGCGAGCCCAGCGGGGGAGGAGCCCCAGAGCAGAGCGTGGAGCACGGGCGGGCGCGGGCAGAAGCGCGGAGCCCGAGCTGCAGGCACGGAGGGCGGCGTCGCCCGGAGCTCAGCAGGGTCATGGAGGAGGCCCCACTGCTGCCCCCACAGAGTGCCCTGCAGTGTCCGCCAGTTCCTGCCGGAGGGGAGCCGGTAAGCTCGGGGCCCCGGGGCAACCGGGCGTCTCAGCCTCGCGGGGTTGAGCCTGGCCGGGCGGGTCCCAACAGAGCAGATCCCTGTCCCCCGGCGTCCCGCCTCTTTACGCCTCTGGGACGTGAGGGAAGCGCACCGACAAAAGGTCCCAAAGGACCATCGGGGTCGAAGGGAGCATGTCAGGTTGCTCTCCAGAGCCCTGAACAGAAGGTGGACCGAGGGAGCCCCCGAAGGTGGCCGCGGGACCCCGGGGCGCACGTACTCAGTGTCCAGCACTCTAGAGATCCCGCCCGGTGGGAGTTGCACCCCTAGGCCCAATCTGAGACGCCTCCCCCAGGTGGCCCCGGCGGCGACCGAGGGAAGCGGGGAGCCCTCTACCGGCCAGGTCTCGGGGTGACGCCAGTTTGGGAGGGGACTTAGAGGAGCAGACCTGTTTGTAGCTGGGGTTTGGGAATAGCCCCGACTTGCTAGTGACCTTGGGCAGGTCAATGCTTCTCTCCCAACCTCAGTATGTTCATCTATCAAATGGAGAGGACACTTCCCTTTCACTGCAGACTGGTGGGAACCAGTGAGAGGCCGTGGATGCCTTTTTACACACTGTAAAGTTCTGCAAATCTTAGATGCTCGAGTAACAGCAAAATTGTGAAGCTTTAGGAGATTAGCTTTATTGCAGGTGGGGGGAATGGGGATGAAATCTTGCCTAAAGTCACAGTACTTGAAGAACATAAGACTCAAACCCCTTGACTCGCTAGATTTGGGGATGTTCAGGGATTAAGACCCTGGTACTATCAGGCTGGCTCCGTTAGTAAACTAGCCCTGGCCACTTAGCTGTGCGATCGTCCAAAAGCCTTTGTTTAACCTCTCCAAGAACTGGTTCTCTCCTATAGGAAATAAGAATGACAACGTCCATACTGCAGGTTTGCTTTGCAAAATCAGATGGGATCATCTGACCCTGAGCAGGAGCTCTGCCCTCCTTGCCCTGTTTTGCAATTATCAGACTTGGATCTCTTTGGAATCTCTTCATGGCAGTGGTTCTTAACCTGTGGGTCACGACCTATTATAGTCACCTAAGACCATCAGAAAACACATATAATTACATTATGGTTCATAACAGTAGCAAAATTACAGTTGTGAAACAGCAATGAAAATAATTTAATGATTGAGGGTCACCAAAACATGAGGGACTGTATTAAAGGGTCACAGCATTAGCAAGGTTGAGAACCACTGCCTTATGGTGTTTTCTAGTGGAGTGTGTGTCTATACTTTCCTCTGGACCCCTGCGACACTGGCTGGAGTCTCAGCCCTCCCTTCAAGGGACCTTTTATGATAGCAGCAAGATGGTCATTTGAGAAGTTAGGCTGGCTGGCAGATGGTGGGCTTTGTCCAAGAGACCAGGGCTCCGCGGGAAGCTGGCGTCCAGGCCCGCAGGTGGAAGCAGTAGCGCCCTGGACTTCCCCTCTTCCTCATTTAATTACAAGGCCAGAAATGCAAAGATGCCTCCTTGGGCTTTGCTGGCTGCCTGATGGCAAGTGGGGCTGCTGTGATCCCTTCTCTCCTGCGATGGACAACAGTGCTTTTTGGCAAGGGCGATGTGAACACGAACAGAAATACAGATCCTCAGAGACTGTCATTCCCAGCCCTGAGAGGGTGCCCTCATTGCACAGACAGCCCCCATCGGGCCCACAGAGTCCAAGGTCAGCCAGCAGCAGCATTCAGGAAGCCAAATTCGCTTCAACTTTCTCTCTCTCCCAGCTGTTGTTTTGGTTTGGTTTTGTTGCAGGCTCCTCTTCCTGTGTCCAGACACTAGGTGCTCTGGTGGCCCGAGCCCTCTTCCCTGCTTATGGTAGACCCTCTCCCTGAGTGATCTCACCTTCCCTCAGGCTTTGGTTACCTCCTCTACCCATAGGTGGATGGAGCCTAGAGCACTCTCGGGTTGGCAATCCGTCCGTTTCTTATCATCCAGGCCCTGGGGATACAGTGATGAGCTAGACAGAGCTGTGCGTTATGTGGGTACAGCGGGGGTGTGGAGTGGAGAGATGGCCAGTAAACAGATAAGTGGGAAGCATCAGCTAGTGTTAAGTGCCCCAATGAGCGCAGGAGTGACATGGACAAGAGCTGCTGTGTGTGGGAGAAGTGGCAGTGCTGACTGGGGTGGCTGGGGACAATTGCAGACAGAGAGCTAGGCTAAAGAGGTGTCGGGGTTCCTGACAGATGGTGAGGACTGCAGATCATGCTGAGGGGTTGGGATTTTATTCAAGTATTGTAGAGTGCAGAAGCCAGGAACAGTGCATTAGACTTGTAATTCCAGCACTCAGGAGGCAGAGGTGGTTGGATCTTGAGTTTGGGACCAGCCTGAGCTACATAATAATACTCTATCAAAAAAAAAAAAAAAGGAAAGTGGTGGTGGTGCACGCCTTTAATCCTGTACTCAGGAGGCAGAGGCAGGTGGATCTCTGAGTTTGAGTCCAGCCTGGTCTACAGAGTGAGTTCCAGGACATCCAGGGCTACACAGAGAAACCCTGTCTCAAAAATAAAAAAAGCAGAAAATCAAGGGAGAAGGAAGACTGGTACTTTTATTATTATTATTATTGTTATTTTTATTATTGCTGTTGTTATTATTATTATCGTGTAGGTGTGAGAGTGTGTTAAGGCAAGCTCAGAAAAGGAAGACTGGTACTTTTATTATTATTATTATTATTATTGTTATTTTTACTATTATTATCGTGTAGGAGTGAGAGTGTGTTGGGGCAAACTCAGAGCCTGTGCATGCTAGGCCAGCCCAGCCCAGCACCAGTACTGCTGATTTCTTCTGGGTGTGTTTAAGCCTTATAGAAAGACTCCTTCCAGATTGCTGCAAGTGGTCTAGGCCCTGGAGTGGGGAGGGACTAGGTTTATCTTCAGAGAGCTTCTAGCCACAGGCAGGAGGAGGCACAAGTAAACTTAGAGTCAGGAGAGGGATTCAAAGAGAGAGATTTGTAGGCCCGGGCTGTAGCTCAGTTTGTAGAGTGCTGGCCTAGCATGCACAGGGCTCTGGGTTTGGTCCCCAGTGGTGCACATCTGTAATCCCGGCACTCAGGAGGTCGGGGCAAGAGTTCAAGATCATCCCTGATGACATAGCTATTGAAAGCCAGTCTGTGCTTCACGTGACTCATATGACAGTGGATGGCATTTCATGCAGTTGACCAGGTTTCCTAGAGGAAGTGGCTTCTGTGGAAGAGACGTTGTGAAGAGACAGGGCAGCCCAATGTAAATAAATGGATATCCCAAGTATGTGGAGAGAGAACACAGAACCTTCAAGAACATGAGACACCGGGGATGTTAACATCAAGGCTTTGTGCCTTTGACTCGTGTGAGCCTTGGTTTCCTCCTTTTTATTCGATTAGCTGGCCTAATGCCAGGAGAAAACAGGAGAAAGGATTCTATTTCAGGTGCTGGGCTGGGGCTCAGTTGCAGAGTGCTTGCCTAGTGACACATGAAGTACTGGGTTCAATCTCTGTCCAAAAAATATCAGGAGGAACTGACGAGAAAGGCTATCACTGCCAAGCCTGTTGACCTGAGTTAGATCCCTGGGAACACCATGGTGAAAGGAGAAAATTGACACCCACAAGTTGTCCTAGGACGGGAACAAACAAACAAAAAACATTTAACAAAGAAGTTGGTCCTAATGGTGCATACATGTAAACCCATCACTCAGGAGGCAGAGACATGAGAATGTCCAGTTTAAGAACAATCTGGGCTATATAGTGAGATCCTATCTCAAAAAACCAAGGCTCAGATGTACCTCGATGGTAGAGTGCTTATCTGGCATCCACAAGGCCCTGGGTTCGATCAGCAGTATGCAGGACAACCAAGTCATAGTCTGGGTGAGAGGACTTGATTGAGTTTGGAGCTCCTATAGGACCTTCAGATAGAATCACCAAAAGGCATTTGGATTATGAGAGAGGAGTGAACAGGTCTAAGAAGCATAAAATTGTCTCATTCTTTGAGTAAATTTTATTGATCACCAGTGTCAACTCCAAAATGTTCAGTTATGAACAAAGCCAAGCCCTGCTCTATCTTGTGGGGAGAAGAGAAACACAGAAGCTCTGCACTGCAGAGTGAGGCAGGCTCTGTGTTAGGCACGGGCTGTGCGTCGCATAGTGAGGCAGGATCTGTGTTAGGGACAGGATGTGCATCACATAGTGAGACAGGCTCTGTGTTAGGGACAGGATGTGCATCCCATAGTGAGGCAGGATCTGTGTTAGGGACATGATGTGCATCCCATAGTGAGGCAGGATCTGTGTAAGGGACGGGCTGTGCATCCCATAGTGAGGCAGGATCTGTGTTAGGGACAGGATGACAGGATGTGCATCCCATAGTGAGGCAGGATCTGTGTTAGGGACATGATGTGCATCCCATAGTGAGACAGGATCTGTGTAAGGGACAGGATGTGCATCCCATAGTGAGGCAGGATCTGTGTAAGGACAGGCTGGCACAGAGGAAAGAGGAAGTTTCACAAAGGGAGATAGAGCAGTTTGTGCTGAAGGTGGCTAAGGGAAAGACAATGGGCTCCACCACACATGTGTCATTCCCTTCCTGAATTCCAGTCTGGCAGGGACACAGGAAGTTGGTGAGGACAGTTGGGGAGGCCATATTAGTGTCTATGTAAGAAACTTAGTACAACAGAGAACGGGGGTGATCAATTCCATTCTGGGTTCCAGAGAAACTTCCAGAAAGCATTCTTTGGAGGAGAGAGAGAGATGGCTCAGTGGGTAGGAAGCACTGCTGTACAAGCCTGAAGACCTGAGTTCAAGTTCCCAGCACCCATGTCAAAAAGCTGGGCGTGACTGTGCACACCTGTAACCCCAGCATTTGGGGAGCAGAGACAAGCAGATCCTGGGAGCTCACGGGTCAGCCAGACTAACCTAAAGGGTGACCTCTGGAGACCCTGTCTCAAGAAAATGAGGAAGAGAGTGTCCTCATTTGGCTGGTACACACACATGTGCACATACACACACCAC